GGATACTGTAAATTCATAATCAGGATGGACATGTGGTCAGAATCATATATGATTTACATACCCGAATGGGTGACCGATAACGCCGTGGGGGGGTAGAGTCTATTCTCTTTTTGGAAAAAGGAATCTACGTGGTGCGTTATATGTGGTACTTGGAGATAGTTTATCGTGTTGGCCTGGCAATTTGTGGATCCGCAACCGTTGGATCAATCCAGCCACGCGAGCCGGGGGTTCGCCCATGGAGTGGGCGAGGGCCGTCGCGGCGGGCGCGGGCGGCCTGGCACAGCTGGGTACACGGCCAGAGGTGCACCTGCCAAGTGGCCCTCGGCGAGGGCTTCTCGGTCGACCAGCTGGTGCGCCTGCTGGCGGGCCAGCTGCAGCGTTGCGGGCCGGCCAACCTCACTGTCCCCGCGCCGTGTGCGCCGCCCGAGTGCTCGGGCTACCAGGGCCTAGTGGTGCTGCTGGTGGCGGTGCTGGCGTTCCTGGCGGGCGTCTGCGCCTCGACGGCCTGCGACTGGTGGTGGCTGCACCGCGGGGCGACGGCTGCCCCGGACCGTCTCTGCCTGCCAGAAGTCCCCGATGTCCGCTCACCTTCGTCAGGGCCAGCGAGTGCTCGTCTCCTATGACGCGGACCCGCGTGATCTGCTCTGGCATGAGCGGCTCTTGTGCCTCACGTGCACGAGGGTTCGTGGGTGGTCGTCACTCCCGAGCGCGACATCTACCTGGAGGACCTTCAAGACGGGATCGAGAGCCTGGTGCCGCTCGGGCCGATGGGTGGGCCGCCGTCTGGCTGGAGGCGCGGGCCGACGCACATGTTCTGGGGCTCGCCCCAGGGCCCGCTGCATCAGGCCGAGAGCTTGCGCCTGCAGGCCGAAGGTGCGGAGCTGGCGGAGCAGGAGCGGCGGGACCACGGCCTAGGCGCTGCTCGGCCTGCGCCCCTCCCCGCTGGCGCGCCGCCGCCGCTGGCGCTGGAGGGCGACCCAGCGACTGACGAGGGCGAGTGGCGCTTTTCCGACAGTCGGGGAGAGGCGCGCTTGGGCGAGCGCGTGGGTGCCGCGGAGCTGGAGGCTGGCTGCCGCCGCGGCGATCGAGGGGTAGCCCAGGTGGGTGACCTTTTTCGTCGCGTGCCCCTTCTTCAGGCCAGGCGAGGAGGTGCCGACGCCCGGGGGGGGGCCGCGCGGGGGGGCCGACCAGCGAGCTGCGGACGCTCCCCGCGAGGTACGAGAAGGCGAGTCAGCGCTACCGCTCCAACAAGGAGGCCGCGTCGCTCACCGCGACCACGGCCTTCGACGACTGGCCCATCAGCGGGCCTCGGACGGCGGAGTGGCTCGCGCGCGAGATCGCTCGCCAGGGGCTGGAGGCACTTCTGGTGGCGCCAGCTGCTGGGCCTGGGCCCCGGCGACTGGGGTGCGGGGGGGCACGAGTCCCTCAGCCGGCTCTTCGAGTATGCCCTGACGTACGACCGGCTCAACTTCGGTAAGTACGTTGGCCTCGCTGGAGCTCGCGGGCCGGCGTTACCAGTTGCTGGAGGAGAGGTACGCCCGGACGCTGACCTCGGCGACGGCAGGCGGTGACAGCGGCCACCTCGACAACGACAGGCTCTACATGGGCGAGGAGGGCCGGCACGGGCGCGCGCCGGTTGCGCCAGCGCTGGAGACCTGGATCTCGCAGAAGTTGTCGGGGGAGAGCGCCGTGCTCAAGGGGCGCCGCAAGGCCATGGAGGAGCGTCAACTGCCATTCAATGCCGGGCTGTGGCCAGCTTGGCCAGGGCCTACTACTCCGTGCCGCCGCCGCCCGACGACCTCACCACCTTGGGAGCGTGGCCTGCGCTTCGGGGCCGCGGATCTGGCTACGCCTGCGATGCCGTCGTCGCCGGAGATTTCGCTGCCAGCGCGGCAGGCTCGCCCTGCCTGCGGTCGGCAACCAGGCAGTCGACCTCGTCGGCTGCCTGAAGTTGCTGGAGGATCGTGGCCGCGCTATTCGGCTGCCAGCAGCGCGTGCACAGACGGCGCGGCGAAGGCGGACGAGTTGGACATCGCGATGGGTCACATCCTGTCGAGGTATCCGAGCAAGTTCGCCGAGTTTTTGAACAGTGCTTATGAATCTGGAGTCGTCGAGCCGGCGGCCGAGGTTCGCAATTTTGTGGGTGTCTTCTTAGTTCGCAAGAAGGGCGGCTCGCTGCGGATCATCTTCGATCCTCGGAAGACCGACGCGCAGTTCGCGCCGCCCGACGGCGTCGCCCTGGCCTCGCCCGAGGCCCTCGGCGACCTGAAGCTGCCAGCTAGTCGCAAGTTGTGGGTCAGCGAGGGGGGCGTCGAGAACTGCTACTACCAGTTCCTGCTGCCAGTCGACCTGTGTGCCGACTTCGCGCTGCCGGCGGTGCCGCGTCGGGCGCTGCCGCGACGCTTGCGCGACCTGTTCCCTGCTGGCTCCGAGCTGGTGCACTTCCAGGTTCGCGTGGCGCCGATGGGCTGGAGCTGGGCCGCGGCGCTCGTGCAGGCTTCAAATGCGGAGCTGCTGCGGTCAGGGCCGTTGGGCGCTCGACGCTGGCTCTGCAATCGCCGCTGCGCGCCCGCCGTCGCCGGGCGCGAGCACGCTGCTCTCCTGCGCATCGACAACTTCGCCTCGCTGGGGACCGCGAAGGAGGCGGTCCAGGTTGACGGCGACTCGATGGGAAGACAGCTGAGGGGTCGTGGTCTGGCTACTCATGACGTCTCCGGGCCGCAGGTCGACGTGGACCTCCTGGGCTTCCACGCTGACGGAGGGAAGGGCGCGATCCACATCGCGCCCGAGCGGTTCTGGCGGCTGGCCCTGAGCCTGGACTACATCTCGACGCGTCCATTCCTGACGGGGGCCGGGCCGGGCTGGAGAGGCTGATCGGGCACCTGGCGTGCGTCCTCTTGCTGCGGCGCGAGATGCTCAGCCTGCTTAGCGCTTCTTACGTCTTCATCGGCAAGTGATGCGCTCGCCGAGTGCGGCCCTGGCCTTCGGCGCGTCGGGAGCTGTCCTGGACGCGGGCGCTGCTGCCGCTGGCGTGGGCCGATATGCGAGGCACCTGGGCGCCTAGCGCCATGGCCGTGGACGCGCCCCTGACGGGCCTGGGCGCTGCGGAGTGCGCGGCAACCCCAGCCGAGGTGGGCCGCAACGGGCGTGTGCGAGAGCGCTGGCGGTTCAAGGGGCGCGATCTGGTGGCCGAGGGCTCGAGGGCGCGCGCCTTGCGAGAGGGCGCCGTGGGCGGCTCCGCCTTTCCCGACGTGCCCGCAGATTTCTGTAAGTCATCCCTGTGGAAGACTGTGGCTTCGAGGCGCTGGCGGCACAAGGCGCCGATCCATCTCCTGGGGGGCGAGGCGCTTCTCTGGGCGATGCGGAGGCAGGTGCGCCGCGTGGCGCATCACGGTTGTCGGCTGCTCTTCCTGTCCGATAGCATGTGTATTTGTTGTGCGGTCGCAAAAGGTCGAGCCTCGGACTTTCCCATCCTTGCGCAGTTACGGTATCTCACCGCACTTCAGCTCGCTTCTTCGCGTCGAGTTTCAGTTCGTTGGATCCCCTCCGAGTGGAACCCCGCCGACGGCCCCTCCAGGCGGTTCGAGCCCCGCCGTTTGCGGGGCGGTGGGGCGCCGAACGCTCCTGGCGGCCCTTCGCCGAGGGAGCCGCCGCCGCTGGCCTCGAGCGTGCCTGCGGGCCGCCGCCGACGAGCCGCGGCCGCGCCTCCGGGTGCCCCGCGGGCGAGGGGCCGCGCCTGACGCCGAGGCACCGCGGCCGAGCCGCCGGCCGCGACGGCCTTGCCGTGGCACCGCCTCCTGGGCTCGAACGTCTCGGGCCTGGAGCTGGAGACTGAGGCCGCCGACGCAGCCGAACTACCTGCGCTGGCCCCGTGGCCTTTGCCGCTGGCCGGGTCTGGTGGCTCTGCCCAACTGGGGCGCGCTGGAGTGGAACGACGCGCTGCTGCAGTACCTGAACGACGAGTTCTCGAGAGGTGCGCGGCCCGACAGGGCGTCGAAGCCGCTGTCGGCGACGTTGTGGGCGAGGCCGGCGCTGGGGCGACCCCCGCGGGCGGTGCTGCCGCGGAGCAGCCGAGCGCTGCTGGGCTGGAAGCGCAGGCGACCAGGCCCCTCGCGCCCGTCGCCTCCGTGGCTCGTCCCGCGCGGGGCCCTGGAGATACTGCTCCTGAAGTGCCTGGGGGCGCCGGCGCGCGCCCATCAGCTTCACGTTCCACTGCTGCCGGCGACCAGGCGAGCTGCTGGCCACGAAGGCGTTTCAGCCGGTGGCACCGGCTCATGGCCGGCGAAGCGGGTTCCGCTGGTGGGCGCTGCTGCTGCATCCAGAGGAGCTGCTGGTGCCCATCAAGACAGGCGAGCAGGGCGACTCGCTGCCGCTGGACGCCCCCGAGCTCCTGGCGCGCGCCAGCGCTGAGCGAGCGCAATGCGCGGCTGGGGCCCCGCGCGCCGCTGTGGAGTTTCGGCTGCGCGCAGCTGCGCGCGGAGTTCGAGGAGTCGCTGGCGGCGCTGGGCCTGCGAGGCCTCGGCGCCACGCTGCCCGGCTCGAGGCGTGGCGGGGCCAGCCCCGACAGGGTCGCGGGTCGCAGGTCGCAGGAGGAAGTGACCAAGCGCGGCCGCGGGCAGGCCCGGCTCTCGGTCAGAAGACGCGAGAGGCACGGGCGCCCAGCGCTGCCGGTGGCGAAGGCGCCGCCCGTGGTGCAGCAGCAGCTGCGCCTGGGCACGCGGCGACTGCCCAGCCTGTCCGGGCTCAGCTCCACGCAGCGCTCAACCGAGTTCGCCTGGGCAGAGAACGAATCGCCGTCGAGGTCTTCTCGGGTTCGGGTAGGCTGGCCGCCGCACTGCGCGCCCGAGGCACCACCACGCTGGAATGGGACATCATTCGAGGAGCAAAGTTCGATCTCGCCAAGGCAGCCAGCCTAGAGACCTGAAAGGCTGGATTCTCAGTGGAGAAGTGAGCATCCTTTGGCTAGGCACACCCTGCACGTCGTTCTCAATGGCTCGTAGGCTCGCAAAGTCGGGGCCTGGGCCGTTCCCTCTGGGCCAGCCGAATTTGTCCAGGGCCGATCGTTCCAGAGTGCAGTTTGGTAACAAGTTGATGCAAGCCTCCGTGGCGCTCGCCAGGCTTGCTCATGCTCGGGGGATCCTGGGAGGGCTCGAGAATCCGGCCTTTTCTAAACTTTGGCTGTGTCCGCCTGTGCTGGGTCTCGCGAGGCTCACCAGTGTTCGGGATGTCTTCGCTGATTTCTGTATGTGGGGCGAGCCGTGGCGAAAGCGCACGCGGCTTCGCCTCTGGCACGCCCCCTCGGATTGTCTCGGGCGAAAGTGCCGCGGAAGGGGGATCTGCGAGCGATCTGGATGTAGGCGCCAAATTCTCGAAGGCAAGGCCCCGGGAGGCCAATTTTGGACAGCCGTGGCCCAGCCTTATCCAAAGCTCCTTCCTGTGTAGAGCTCTTGCTAAAGCCTTGGTAGACGCCTCATGTGATGATATATTATGACAGTTGTGGAGCATTTGTAAAGGATAGCGGCACAACCTGTGCGCGAATGACATTGGCCGTGTGGATGGCCAAGAGTTTTTTGCTTGCTGAATGCCGCCGCGGTCTACGCACCGTTGCTGCCGAGGCCCCTCGGCCCGGCGCCCTCTCAAGCTTCGGGGGAAAAATAGAAGGCGTTGGAGATAGTTGGTCGTATTGGCCTGGCAATTTGTGGATCCGCAACCGCTGGATCAATCCAGCCGCGCGAGCCGCCCAACCCCCCCGCCCGCTTCTGCTCCCCCACCTTCCTTTCCCACGCTAATTCGCGAACTTAGCAGGCCCGGAGTTCTTTGCTTGATGAATGCCGCCACGTTCGATGCACCGTTGCTGCCGAGGCTCCTCGGCCCGGCTCCCTCTGAAGCTTGCGCTGGAGAAAAATAGCACGCGTAGTGCAGTCTGCGCGGCGCAATGCATGGCGCGCAGTCTACGCGGTGTAATCTATGTGGCGTATTCGCCCTGCCGAACTTGAAGTTGCCCAGTCCACTGCTGGCGCAAACATCCCACCCGCCCACCCGCAACTTGGTTTGCAGAGGCCACGTGACGGCGATTGCGATGAGTGCTTGGCGTTGGCTGGTGCATCTCTGCGGCCGCGCTAGCCCGCGCATGCTCGCGCGCGCAGCGGCCAGCTATTCTGGCGCGATCGACGCGGCCGCGGCGGCGCTGGCCGCTGCGCACGCGGGCACTTCAGTGCGAGTTGGCGACGTGGGCTGGCGCGGTATCATGGCGACGCCGGCAACGGTAGACACGATTATGACAGTAGCGATGGTGACGAAGGTGGTGGTGACGACGGCAAGGCCATTGACGGCGCCGATGTTGATCACGCCTGCCGATATCGATGACGAGGTCCTCGCGTCGGTGATGGAAGTTTTGGACGGAGTTCAACATGCGCACGTGGCCGACGCGCGCGATTAGCCCGCGCGGTATCATTTGACACGGATCTTGTCCGCCCAGCAAGCGCGCAAGGGCGTTCGAATGAGTTCGACATGCGGCGCGAGCGGCCCTTGTGATATAATTCAATGAACACGTTGGAAGCCCGATGGTTTTCTCACGAACCCGCACGAGCGCGAACGCAGAATGTTTCGAAAACGAATGTTGCAACACCGTGTGTGTGTATGTATTGTTTAATAGGTTTCGGGGCACTCAACTTGGCAGTCTTTACGGCACCGGAGGTTTTAATATGGCTTACTCAAGAATTCGCAAGAACGCGAGCGCAATCTTCTTTGTTCGACAGTTCTCGTTGCAAAACCAAGTGTTGTTTTAATTGTTCTCGCGGCGCTCTATTCTGCAACCCTTACGTGACCTGAGGTTTTTGTTGACGGATTGCGGCGTGCGCGCGACGACGCGCGCGTTCGCGCATCGTTTCATTTTTCGGCAAGAGATTCTTGCAATCTTATGATGTTTTATCAACGGGTGTGCGCGCATATTTGTAGGCAGAGGGTGGCGGGGGGAGGTCGATACCAGCTCGGCTGGGATTGCGCGTTTCCAAACGCGAGGGGGGATCGTTGACTCCAGGGGGGGGCGGCGGGGAGATCCTAACATTCTTTCAGAGGGGAGATTTCACGAATGCGTATTCGCGAGTTGTCAAGTCCACTGCTCGCGCAATCATCTCACGCACCCACCCGCTACCTGGTTTGCAAAACCCATGCGGCGGCGATGGGTGCTTGGCGCTGGCTGGCGCATCACTGCAGCCGCGCTAGCGCGCGGAAGCTCGCGCCAAAAGCGGCCAGCTATTCTGGTGCGGCCGACGCGGCCGAGGTGGCGCTGCCCGTTGGGGACTCCCCAGCGCGTCTCGCAGGTTGCGCTGACGTGCCGGCACATCCGCGCGAGTCGGTGATTCGGGCGAGCGGGGTATCATGCCGACGTCGACAAAGGCAGGCACAATAATGATTGTAACGATGCTGGTGACGACGATGACGATGACGGCAAGGCCAATGACGGCGCTGATGCTGAGCACGCCGATGATGCTGGTGTTCCCGCGTCGGTGATGAAGGTAGTGGAAGGATTTCGACATGCGCGCGCGGCCAGCGGGCGCGAATGAGTCGCATGGTACTATTTGACCGGGGTCGTGCTCCCCCAGCACGCGCGCAAGTTCGAATGATTTCGGCACGCGCGTACGAAAGGCCCGCTTGATTTCACCAGATGAAAGCGGTGAAGAAACACATGGCTTCCGCAGGAAATTCGCAAGAGCGCGTGCATATTTTTCCAGAACACCATGTTGCAAGACCGCTGATTTGTTTGTATGTGTTCAGGAACCTCGACCCTCAGATCCTTTCGACGGCCAAGGCTTTATAATGATTCTGACATGCGCGCGCGACAACGCGCGCGTGTGTGACGACCGTGCTTGGGTTGTGGGTATGAAGCCTATTCGATGTTCGTTGGGATCTCGGGGGGGGCCTCTCGTGGGCCTATTGGAAGCAGTTTTGGGGCCTCTTGGGGGCCGTTCCGGAGCCTCTTGAGGCCTCTTTTGCGCGTCTTGGGGGCCTCCTGGGGCCTCTTAAAGGGTTTTTGGGGGCCTCGGCGCCTCTTGGGGCCTCCTGGGGGCTGCGGAAAGTTCGGATGTTCAGTTCGTGTTCCCTCTCGCGGGTCCCTTTGCGGTCGTGCTGGGGCCCTCTTCGGCCGTTTGGGATACCTTTTGGGCCGTCTTGGGGCCATCTTGGGCCGTTTTGGGGCCCTCTTGGAGGCCTCCTGGGCCGTTTTTTGGGGCGGTCTCGGGGGCCTCTGCGGCCGTCTGGGAGCGTCGGGAAACCGAAACGGCGAGAACGCCACAATCCTTGAAAAACCGTGGGAAAGTCAATGTGTTTGGCCTCTTGGGGCTCTCCTGGGAGGCCTCTCGGGGCGTCTCGGAGGCCTCTTGGGCGTCTGGGGGCCATCTTGAGCGCCTCGGAGCGATCCTTCGGCGACTCGGGGCCCTGTTGGACCGCGGGCCAACAGGGCCCCGAGACGCGTCTCGAGAGGCTCTGTTGGACCGCGGTCCAACAGAGCCTCGAGAGGCCCCCCAAAACGCGTCTTCGGGGGGCCTCTCGAGGCCCTCTCGGGCCGTTTTGGGGCCCCCTCGGGCCGGAGCAGGTCCCGCGACAGGCTGCGGGGGGAGCCCCAGTGGGGCACGCAGGAAGCCCCGGGGGGGCACGCGCCAGGCCCCACGGGGGCACGCGGGGAGCCCCGGGAGACTTGAGAACGGGGAGCGCTGGCCCCCCCCCCTCCTCCTCATTCCTCCTCCTCCTCATTCCTCCTCCTCATCATTCCTCCTCCTCATTCCTCCTCCTCCTCTCCTCCTCCTCCTCCTCCTCCTCCTCCTCCTCCTCCTCCTCCTCCTCCTCCTCCTCCTCCTCCTCCTCCTCCTCTCCTCGCCCTGCTCGGGGGGCCTGCAGTGTCAGGCTCGCTCGTCGTCTCCTCGAGGGGGCCCGCGGCGCACGGGTCTCGCCCTCTCGGCGCCGTGCTCGGTCCAGGGCCAGGTGCCCGTCCGCGAGAGGCGCCTCGCCGACCGGGGCGCCGCGCGCCCGCTTCTGGTCGAGGATGCCGCCGGGCACCGCCGGGAACTTGCGGAGGGCGCGTTCCCCGAGGGGCACCACCGCGCCCCAGTGGGCCTTGCTGAAGATCGTCACGTGCGATGTCCGCCGGTCATTCTTCCCTTGGAACCTGGTGAAGCTCCATGCTGCCTGCCTGGCCACCCTCAAGGGAGGAAAGAACACCCGGACCGGACAATTGGCGTTTACTAAACGGCCTCAGGCGTTTACTAAACAGCCCTGCCCTGTTCGATTCCTTCAAGGGGGGCGTTTAGTAAACGGCTTCGCGTGTCGGGGTGGTTAATATGGAGGTGGATTTTTGCCCTCTACACCCACGCCAGCAGAATGCTGTCGCTCGGCACCTTCGCTCCCAGGTGCTCTTCCAAGGCCAGCCAGATCGCCCTCGTGACGCCGTTGATGACCTTGCTAGCGTTCTCGATCGTGCCCTGACTCGGGTGGCCTCCTCGCGCACCGAACCTCACGAAGGTTTCTCTTGGTGCTTCTGCTTTGCGCAGCCTTCAGCAGCTGCACCTGCACTGGCTTCTGGTCGGAGTGGAGCCAGACCGCGTTGTGGCCCGGCGCCTCCACCGAGCCGAGAGCCAGACGGGCTCTCCGAAGCAGCGCCCACGCCGCGGAAGCGACGGGATCTGCGGGGCGGCGTCCGCCTCCTCGGCCGATGTCGCAGAAGTCGACCTCCACGGCCGCTTCCTCCTCCTCCTCCTCCTCCTCCTCCTCATTCCTCCTCATTCCTCCTCCTCCTCCCCCTCCTCCTCCTCCTCCTCCTCCTCCTCCTCCTCCTTCCTCTTGGGTCGACCCCACGGGTCCCACATTCCTGTGGTGCGGGTTGTCGGCCGCTCGGCCCGACACGCAGTGCCCGCACCAGTTCCCACAGGACACGCGCTCCGACGCCTCATGTTGAGCCCTCTCTTCGGCCGATGGTGTAGCGTACCCCGTCGGCACTCGTGTCTGC